GCCCTACCTCTTTCCTCTGAGGCCAGGCTGAAAAATCAAAATCCCTCTTTTCCATTACAATCCTTCATATATTTGAAGACAGCTATCAGGCCCCCTGCCAAGACAATCCCCATGCAACAGAGTTTTCTACCCCTTTACTTTTCTCTAGACCAGGGCTTCCTAACTTGAGGTCCCCAGACCCCCAAGAGGGTCCATGGATAGATTTCAGAGGGTCCCTGAACTTTGAGGAAAAAAATATATCTTTATTTTCACTGACTTTTGGTTTTCCTTGTAATCCTAGGTAGTTTATTTCATGCATTTTAAAACATTATTCTAAAAAGGGGTCCAAAGGCTTCTCTCACCTGCCAGAGGAGAGAGGTTAGGAATCCCTGCACAATTCATTTTGTCAGTCACGCTCATACCCACCTGTCAATTAATTGCTGAGAATTTTTAGGAGAAAAATTTAAAGTGTTCCCCCCCAGTCTATTTGCATTTTAAAGGGACGTGGGGGGAGAAAGGGAGGACAAGGGGGACTTGAAAGGCTAAAAATCTCAGGAACTGAAAGGAATCCAGGCACCATGATATACAATCAAGGGGAGATTTTTGAGCCCAGTAGAATTAAATCATACCATGCGTGGGATCTCATTTCCTCTACCAGTTCTTAAAACAGACTCAGAGCATAGAGGGTAGGTTTTTTTGTTTTTGTTTTGCTTTTGAAAGCATCGAACTAAAGATCAGGTTTGAATTGTAATTTTGCAGCACTACTTACTAGCTGTGTGACCCTGAGATAGTCTCTCTACGACACGACATATTACGGTATCATGGTTCTGCTCTTTCTTTGCATCCCCAGAGCTTATCATGCTGCTTGACATATGGTAGGCATTTAATCTTTCATTGAATGTAATACAGTATAAAACAACAAGTGTCTATTAACCTCCTGCTATAGATGGAGCACTTGACAAAGTTTAGACTAGATGGCACCCTTCCCCAATGAGTTTAATTGAGGCTTAAGACAACAACAGAGATAGATGTACATAATGTGGTTTGTGATAGGATAAATGTTTTCAATAAATAATAATACAAATAAATACATTAGAGAATCATAAATTACCTGTTCTATATTTTCATAAATTATATAACCAAGAACTATGGGAGCTCTGAGAGAAAAAAGGTTGTTACTAATATATCCAAATAATGTATCCATTTAAAGCAGAATATATACTTCCAGACAGGAAAACTGACAGGGACTTTAGAGCAGAGAGCACAAAATGTTTGAGCTAGTAGAAACCTTATGGATTGTCTTTTCTAATAAACCCATCTTACAGATAAGGAGACAAGGGTCATCAAGAAAAAGTGACTTACCCACCCTCATTCACCTGGTGACCAAACCAGGCCCATAATCTGAGTGTCCTGACTTCTAGATCAGTGTTTGGTAAACTTGTTGTTTGGTGATTCAAGCTATGGGGGGAAAGAGGGAACATGAAGAGGAATTAGGGTCAGGCTCAGGTAACAGGGATACATTCTCCATCACTATACATACTAGTGGTATGACAAGTGAGTGATATGTCATGTGCTGTATCAAACTTATGGCATAGTCTCACTTTCTTGCAAAATTTTAGGGCGTTTAATTTTTTTTCAAAGGTAACCAATCAGTATCTCCACTAAAATTCTCCTCCACTGTTTTCATCTTGGTGTGGAAATTATTCTGTGTTATTTGCCAGTGGATACAAGCTATAAAATCTTTAAATATGGGCCTGGGAAAGACTATATGTATGTATATGTATATATATGTCTTCCAAGGGCTAGCCAGCCTGGTTAAGTGTAAAGGGGTTCTTTACCAGATAATTGACCCCAGCATTGTGAATTTATCTTCTTTCTATCTATCTATCTATCTATCTATCTATCTATCTATCTATCTATCT